CCCTGTTTGAGTTACCAAAGAAACTGAGTTTGTTTTACTTGTATTTCATTTTTGTAATTATCTCACGTTTCTTTATATAATACATAGCACCATGCATGATTGGACTGTATTTTTTTAAATAAATGAATATGTAAAGAATTGTTTCTTTTTTGTTCGAGGTGTGTGTGTGTGTGTGTGTGTGTGTGTGACATGCCAGCAGAGTCAAGTTAGAATTTTCCGAATTTTTGACACATCAAGCTCAAAAGGTTCACTATCACTGGTCTATACCTTTCTCTCCTTGCTGAGCATTTCATAAAAATGGTGCACTCTTACTATGATTGATGAGACATTGTAGACTGTGGTCATTCAATACTTTCCTGATGAAATACACTAGCTTTTGTTGCATTAATGTATGTATGATAACATAAAGACTCATATGAGGTTGCAAGTACACCTGTATCAACTATGCCACCAACTTCATGCTACGTGTGGTCTGGCTCATCCTTGCCTTCCCATGTTGGAAACAGATGTGATTGTGGGTCTGTATGGCACTCATTGCTGAGCATGGCAGGAATGACAAATAATAACATGTCTTTCTTGAGTGAAAGACATGTGGTTCCGCACCTCAGGTTTCAAAGTTAACTCTCCCATATCATATTGTAAATGTGGGAATCCAGCTATATTTAATATGCTCCTGAAAGTATGAGCTCTAGTCTTTGGAAGAGTTATGACTATTTGGAGTTTTAAGACATGATTTGCTAATTGCTGTGTATCATCAGGGATCAAGTGCATGTGCTGGCTTGAAATTACTTAGATCCTAACAGTATCTCTAGATTTGTTCACCCTGAGCAGGACTGGCTAGGTGCTGATACCCACATATCATTAGAGACCTATCCTCTACGGTCCAGATAGTGGGAGAGTTTGTTGCATCATCCCACTCTCGCAATCGCTAGGTGTTGAAAACTGACTTAGATAAAAATAACAGATCTGCCCCTTAGCTTTTCATTTAAAAATAAACAAAACCCCTAAGAAAAGAAAGTAAGAGATGGCAGACAGAGCATAGATAAGGGTCTTGGACAAAACATAATTTTTCAGATGCTGTTTAAATATGTAGACAGTGGCAGAACAACAGAAAACAATAAAGACCAGGAAACAAGACTTCAAGACCACGGCCACACAGCCCAGAAGACCCACACCAGCCACAATAAAGACAAGGTTGGTGCCAAGGTACTGGTACCAAGTGAAATAAAGTAAACACCAAGAGAAGTAAGAAAGGAGCCAAAGAATAAAAAGACTTAAAAGTAGAAATAATTATGTTTTCTCCCATCAAGGAAACAAAAACACTTGCAAAGCTTTCAAAAAGGGCTGCTGGCACCAGGTAATTGACATGCTTTCCCCACAATCTCCTGGCTTAGCTATCTGGCAAACCACGTTAATGGGGAGGGAAGATAACTGCCAGCAGAAGTTCCAACACGTTGTAAGAGCCAGCACTAGAATCATGCTGATGAACCAACCAAAGTAATCTAAGATTAAGCATAATCTAGTTATACCTGGATGAAGAGGAATTTAGAAACATAAGAGATTTATGTGAAAACCCATCAAGAAGTAATGCAAAACACAGATAAATATGTTCATTACTAACTCTAACAGGATGATGAACTTTCCACTGCTTTTGGTGTTCCAAATTTGTTTAGCACTATAACCACATAGGACTGTCTACTTCTGCAAAATGCTCTTTCCAGGATCAAAAATTATTCTGGCTGAATCTCTTTTACTATAAATTGTGGGCTTGAGGTCTCTAACCTTACAAATAAACCCCTACAGCGCAGTAATTGTTGCATCTTAGCAATTTATTCATGTAATGGGCACATTAGCCTTCATCTTTCTATTGATTCTCGGTCATTCTCTTGCTAGCAAATTGTTCCAAGGGAAAGTAGAGATTATTAGTCTAAAATTGGGCTGTGGTGCAGTGATGTGATGAACTAACTTCTGCTCTTCCAGTGGGTCCTCACTTAATGTCAGCTAAGTTAATCTGCAGCTCTTTCAGATGCTATCAGCTTCATGTACAGTGTATTTAATTAGCCTCTTGCTTTAAAAGCCAGCCCTGGGTGTCACTTAAAAGATGCATTTATTACATACTGGAGTGACAGAATGAATTACGAGCTCTCATTATGAAGCCAGTCTGGAGAAATTGGATTACTGAACTCTTAGTGATCAAGTACCCTTTTGCCCTTTTTTGCTCCAGGTTTCAAGGAAAAGCCCAAAGCGCCATCTTCTGCTCACTAACTGGAACCAAAAATAACGTGAGCACTCAGCTCTGTCCAAAGGGAATTGCTAAGAGGGAGGCCTTAGGCATTTAGAACTAGCTGTCTGTTCATCAGTTAAATCGCTTATCTATTCTGCCTCTCTGGGCATGCCATATGCCAGCCAGAAATGCTGAAACCTCCTAGCAGCTGTCTAATCCGCAGTCAGAAGAGAATGATAAAACTGGCAGACTTGACTCTGGGAAGCACGGGATGCACCAAGAGTTAGAAGGCCTGAACAGGGACCTTAAAACTGAAACCGACCTTCATATTAATATACTATTCTAAAAGGATAACACAGACTGAAGGGTACTGCAGTGCATTTGCATCCAGCAGAGGCAGGGAAACCTTTCTTATTCTGGGCTTATTGCAAGTTTAAAATTGACCGGAGGGCAGCGCACTATCAGAAGTCCTCATTTGTACTCTCATAAAAGCCAGTCCACGCAAGCCAACATACATGCTCACACACTCACCTTGGTGAACTTGGAACATGCTCCCATCTTGTATGTGCATGCGTACACTAACACACAGGCATTCTGATTCTCAAAAATATTTACGTTCTCTTTCGGACACAGAGATAATAAATAATTACTAGAAAAACAGGCTGGGATGCGAACATGTCTGGACAATTTTGGGAGGTCTTAAGCAAAGCTACTTCACAAGGATGTTATGAGATTAAAATGGGATAACACATAAGGCATTTGTTCTATTTGTGTCCCAACTTTTCTCCAGGGATATCAAGCTAATATATATGTATCTTTTCATTGTATTCAATCCTAGAAACTTGGTGAGGGAGGTTAATCTGAAAAGCCATCACTTGCTCAAGACTGCCCAATAGATAATCAGGACACAAAGATTTGTACTTGAATGGCTTCTGTTTAAGTCAAAATTATGTATAACAGTATATCACCTGAAGTTCTTAAAGGAAAAGCAAATGCAAATATGATTAATGAAGTCGCTTTTTAATAGACAGGAAGAGACTAAGCACAGAAAAATCATCTGTTTTACTTCCCCTGCAGATGAAAACCGCAAGGGGAGTGAGAATTGAAGGCGGAAGCATCTGTGTGTGCATGTGTGTGTTCCCGAGAACAGGAATCTAATCTGAGCAATGATTAGTGAGGCAGAAAAGAAAGTTGTTTACAGGATATACAGTTTAGGGATAGGCAAAACTACATCTTACCAGGAGGAGAGTCCAAAAACCATGTGCTGCGTACACACATGCCCTGAAAAGAAAGTCAAAAGAAAATGATCTCAGATCAGCAATATCTTAGACAAAGAGCAGGCATAGACAAAGAGTAAATCTTTGCTCTTGCTCTATCTACACTCTGCTGCTCCTTTTTGGTTAGTAGGTTATGAGGTACTGAAGAGTCAGGGCCACTGAATTTGGACCTCCAACAGGGAGGACTAACGCCCATCACTTCACTCCATGCTTATCCTTACCAATAAAAGAAACCCAGGAACATGTCTCTGAAGATCGCCTGGCATTTCCTGCATCTATTTTTTCCCTTGAGTCAATGAATTCTTGCTGACATCCAAACTACTTCTGTTAGTTATTGTTATCCAATAGGATAAAACTCAGATCAGACTGAATGTTAGAGTGGCCAAAGCAAGTTAATATGTACCATTTGAGAACTCAAGGGGCCAGGTATCAATTCTCAAAAGCTGTTGGGATTTATTTTACGAAGTATATAAGATTAGCCACATTAGTACTGGTTGGCTTGACAATGACATGCCACTGTTATCTCAAGGCAAAGTATGGAAAAACTTCCTTGCTATCATTCTGAAAAAGAATGAAAACAGTGCTTTTCCAGAAAGGCTTTGGAGAGGAAGGGTGATAGGTTTGTGGTGAATTATGAGTGATGCAATAGTATTTGCTTGTGATGAATTTATGTATTTCTTTTGTGCATTCATTTTTTTCTAAGCTACCTAGAGTCATTCAATAGGGTAGTATACAAGTATGGTAAATAAATGAAATAATAAACTAATCATGCCAGAGGAGATCCACAATTGCAGTCATGGGAATAGAAAAAAAATTGGGGTCCCAATATTAGGGCAGGTGGTTAATCCCCTTTTTTTTTTCTCTTTTGGTGCCATTCCTCAGCTGTAGAGAGCCATGGAGATGGCCTTGATGGAAATATTCACAAGCCATTAAAAATCAAAAATCAAATCACACCTATTACTGAAGTGTAATAGGAAGGAGAGGAAAACACAAGTGGGCTTGCAAGATTTTATTACCATAGCACATCTTAATAAAGCCTACTTCTAGTCTTCTTGTTTCTTCATCTGGACAACCTTGAAGGGCTGACACAGCCAAGATCCCTTTCCACAGCTGCTACTTGCTGTCTGTGGGAAAACAGCACAACAGGGATAAAGGTACTAAACCAGACTGCTTCCCGTTATAGTTTTCCAGCTGGATTAAAAAACAAGTATCAAAATATATAACAGTGCTAAATAGATCGTCTTTCTTCAGAGTTCCTTCAAGTTTCAGTCATAAGTCAGATTTGGAAGGGGCCATTTACAGGAATCCAATTGAGACATTCTTGACATACAGTAAGCCTGTCCAACCTCTTCTTGAACTAGTAAAGGGGAGTTCACTACTTCCTTAAGCAACTGTTTCCATTTTTTTTAACATTCAACCATAATCTACATTCCTATGGTGTGAGATCATTATTCCATGCTCTGTACTCTGGGATAATAGAGAACAAGTTTTGACTTCTTCTCTGTTAAATTCTTTCAGATAGGTATTATTTGTGTCCCAGTGTTGTTGGAACAGGACAGTTTTGCAAACAGGATGATGGACAAACATATCCCAGGGAGCAGATGTTTCACAATGTAGGTGCCACCCGAGAAGGTCTGCCTCTTAACTCTCCCCGCTTTGGAGGACTGCATATGATGAACAGATTCTAGTATGTGAAAACAAGCCTGCAAGTCCAAGGGAACAAAACCATTTAGGACTTTATAAGATGGCACCAGCACTTTGAACTGGATCCAGAAACTTAGTGAATAGGCCTAAAATTTTGGGACTCTTTTTTGGTTTGGGGGTTGAAGAGCTAAAGGGGCAAAACCGTTGTTTTGAGACTCATAAGACTTAACACATTTATTTTGCCCCTTTGTTTTGCATAGAAAAGAAGCAACAAAATCATGCTGCTGAAAATCAGAAATGTTTGCTGCTGTGTCTCCAAGCATTTGATGTAGGATTATTCTGAAGTTGCAAAAGTAGACCGGAGGATGCACCTCTGGTATGTTTTTATGGGCTGCAGTCCATATCATCAAATACACAGAATAGTAGCCTGGGGTACAGGTACCAATGAACATGGCTCAGTTCTCAGACTGATTATCAGTTCAGGAGATGGTCTTCTCCAAGCTCCTAATGCCCCCCAATTTGCCTGTTCATAGAAAGGCAGTAAAAAAGAAAATGAGAAAGACCCTGCCCTAATGCATGTTGATACCAGGAATTAGTTCAGTTGCTAGCATTTTTGTTACCCCACCCATTTCTTCCCAATGTTGTTGTTCAGTCGTTAAGTCGTGTTCGACTCTTCGTGATCCCATGAACTATATTGCGCCAGGCCTTCCTGTCCTTCACTGCCTCCCTGAGTTTGCTCAGTTTCATGCTCATTGCTTCAGTGTTCTTCCCAATACACGTTGCTAAAAAGATTGTGAGAACTCTGTGCTTGGAAGAGGAATTCCTGTTGGAAAATTACATTAACAGCACTCATTTAAAAGCAAAAAGAAAACTGTGGCTAATGGCAATGCAACAGAGGCATCCCAGCACTGGCAAATTAACTAATATGAGCAGGAAGTTGGGGCTGGTATTAAGTGGGGAGGTAGATATGGTAAGAAAGACTCCTCCAGTGTTTAATGGCCAGGCAGAAATGAGATGTCTGTACCTGTGGCAAGCACAAAGATCCTCCAGAAGTTGCTGCTGAATTGTAATAGTCCGGGGAAAAGGAGAATGATTGGATACACTGGGAGCCATAATATTTACTGCATTTATTTAATTTATAAATTTATTTATTTAATTCAACTTAACTGAGTGCTTGGAAAAGGAATTCCTGTTGGGTTTAGGCAGAGACCAAAAGCCTGACACTGGGAAAGGATGGGATGGTAAACAAATCAGTGGGAAATGAAATTAAGTTGAATTAAACTGGCATACGATTAACTTAAGTTAAACCAAATATACCTTTCCTTTTAATTCTCCCATTTCTTTGTCTAGTCTCTCAAAATTTTAAATTCAAATTTAAACTTTTAGCTGGCTTTTTATAAGAATTTCCTGTGATTACGGAAGCAGAATCACAGGAGCTTACTGGTGCCCAGAAAGATGGAGATGATGATTTTACCGATACATTAGTAACATCGCCACGCACCTTTCAACCAGACGCGAAAAAGCCAACCAATGACCCTCGTATCTGGCTAGAGTTTAGAGGAAGGACATGCGCATTCCCAGCAGATGCGACCCTCCCCCTTCCCCCAAGAAACAGAAAGGAGACCACCGCTCGCAGCCCTTCACACGTGAAGAAGGCGGAAGGCAGCAGCGGGCCTTCATCTCTTACGCCACCTCCCTTCCTCGGCCCTGTCATCTTTTAGCCAATTAGCATTCAGGATTTCTGTTCCGCTCGTTGTTATTAGTCACCGAGCTCAAGAAGGGGAGGGACGAATCATCCAATAGCCTCCGAGTTCGGCGTGGCGCGCGCGCTCCGAGGACTGGGTTCGGACCCGGGCTGGGGACGCTGGGAAGATGGCGGCGGCGGGAGCGATGGCGGCGGGAGCGACAGCCTCAGGGGCTGACTTCGCTTGTGCGGATTTCTCCGACTTGCGGGAGATCAAGAAACAGCTACTGGATGTGGCGGAACGGAGCCGGGAACGCGGCCTGCAGCATAGTGGGAAATGGTATGAGGGCGTCGAGGGGGAAGGACGCCAAGTGGTCCCTTGTAGGCTGCCACTCCTGCGCGGAGGGAGGTGATAGTGAGACGAGACGGGGATGAGGACGCTGAGCCTCTGTATGCGGCATTTTCATGGAGAAAACCTACGTGGTTGCTAGGAGTGGAAAACGACTCGATGGCATATAATCAGTCAGTCAAAATCAGTGTGGACATTTGGTTAATCTCAGAAGTAACGGAACTGCCCTGTTGAGTTCTTATCCAGGCCTGATGCGATCCTGGAGTTAAGCGCATGTGGCGTTTGGGGAGGCAAGGCTACAACTTATATTAGTTGGTAATGATCATGGCATTTTAGTTTGTAACGATTATGGCATTTTAGCAAGCAGGTAAGGTAGCAGTTGCAACTGGAACAGCTTACCTTAGCATGAAGTTATACAGCATGGGGAATCTTTGTATGAGTCCATAATTTCTGGGTTCATACATGATGAGCCATGATTTGTTTAATTATGACTTATTGAATAATCTATAATTGATTAACTCTGGAAAACATGCTAAGCTGTAAACTGAGTTACAAACCAAATGAACTGGTTCACAAAATGTGCTTAGCCAGAACTGAGCAAATGGCCTTGCTTGTTGTGATATGTAAACTCAGACAATGTGTTATAATTAACCAGGCAGTTTATAAGCAGCATTCGCTCTAATGTAGCAGATGTTGTTATTGCTGCAGGGCTTCAGAACTGGCCTTTGCCTTGGACCCTCTACCCTTGAATGAGCTGCCTCCTGTTCCTGAACTTACAGAGGTATGGATAATTGTCTGTATTATCTATATAGCACTGGACTAAAAATGACAACTTCAGTTGTTACCATGATTGGAAATCATGGTAAAAAATCCAGTGACATTGTATATTAGTAGTTGGTGGTATATGCAAGTTGGTTGCTAAGGCTGTAGCTCCAAATTTACTTGCTTGAGAATAAGGTTCATTGAATATATGAACTTGCTTTATGATTGCATTGTATATCTCTGACCCATTGTTTGTTTGAAAATCTTCAGTGGGAAAGGCTCCCAGTACTATTTACTGATCAATTAAAAGATATCATTCTTGCCATTAGGATTACAGTTTTAAAAAAAGATATGAAAAAGAAAATTGATGAGTTGGGAAAACAAAACAAGAATACTCAGGAATCAGATTAATGATGTAAGATCTTAGCCTTCCTCTCCACAGTGTAGTGGAATGGATTTTGGACTGTATTGAGGGAGGTAAAACCTCATGAAGTCTTCTCAAAAGAAGAGATGGTAACTCTTTTCTGAAAAAGCCAGAGGGAAAAGTGAACTTTTAATTTGTAGTGCATTTATAGTTATTTAATGCTTGATCATTAATAATTGATTTGTGAGAAAGGGTTTCAGACATTAAAGGATCTTTAAGTCACAATACAAGCAACCGTATTTTTGCAAGCAATTTGCTTTTTCAGTTCTGTGTAGTAATAATTACTTTTGACCTTTCATTCCTGAAGCTTAAAACAGAGATGGGCAAAAATGTCCTGGTATTCCATGCAATGTTTCATTTTTCTCTCATAGTTCATCAGTCCAGCTGTTCTAGGGTTTTTGTGGTTTTTAAAAAGTAGATTTTCTGAAAGTGGTTTCCTATGTTCCAAACATAGTATAGGCCTGATATGCTTAGTTTTGCACGCAACTACTTTATTAACTGTCTATTCTCAGAGAAGCACAAATCTTATTTTGTTATAGCCAATACAGTTTGGAAAGTCATGGTTTAGTTATTAATTTATTACATTCACAATTTAATATTGCCATTTATAATAGGGGTTGGGAACATGTGGTCTTCCAAATGTTGCTGAACTACAACTCCTAGCAACCCTCAGCATGCCCAGGTTACGTTGACTGGGATTGCTGTGAGTTATAATTCAGCAGTGTTGGAAGGATTTAGGTTTCCCCACTTCTTAGGCAATTAGAAAATTGAAAGCCGATTGTTCAAGAGGAATATGTTCATTCTTTCCCAGAAGCTTTCCATGCCGGCACTGTATCATTTCTTATGCTGGAATTCAACACTGCTTTCTTCTTTTCTTCCCAGGAAGATGCTTGTGATTTGGATGCTTACACTCTTGCTAAATCTTACTTTGATCTAAAAGAATATGACAGGGCAGCCTATTTTCTAAGAAGCTGTAAGAGCCCGAAGGCCTATTTTTTGTATATGTACTCCAGATACCTGGTGAGCTAAGACTGCTTCCTTTCTTTTTCTAATGCCCAGACCAGTATAATAAATATGAGAACATAGTATGATATGCACTTGCTTCATCTTAAATTAATTCTTGTTTGTTTTCAGTCTGGTGAGAAAAAGAAAGATGATGAGACAGTGGATAGTCTAGGTAAGGAACCCGAGGTAAATCTTTCATTTGACTTAGTTCGATTGTTAATACTTGTTATGCAGTTTCTTAGGCACATTATTCCTCAGAAGAAGGCTGCAATTCTTAGCGTAGCTAGGCAGCAAAATCATTTATAGATATGACATTATTGTGGAAGGCACAACAGTCTAACACAGTATAACACTAGAAATAATGTAGCTTAGAGTTATCTTAATAAATTTCAGACCAGATAGGTTTAAATGCAGTGTGCAAATATATGTGTTTAATTCTTGATTTCTCCAAGAGATTTTGAATGCCTGAGAAAGATAATTTATTTTATCATCTGAAGTATAAAACACTTCTGATCTAGCTACAAATGGGAAGGATGTAAACTTTAAATTGCACATCCATTGTTAACATGCAAATATGATTATATGGCAGTGCAGAAAAGGTAACAGATATAGTAAAAGCCAGTTTTCTTTCTCTACAGGTCCCTTAGAGAAGGGACAGGTGAAGAATGAAGTTCTGAGAGAATTACGAGTTGAACTTAGCAAGAAGCATAAAGCCCGAGAATTGGATGGATTTGGACTTTATCTGTAAGTTTGCATGAGATGTAAGCCATATAAATGCATTTGCTTTCATACATGAAGCAGAAGTTGTGAAAAGAGCAAGGCTTTTTTTTTCATTTACGTGTATGCTATTCATTGTATAGCGTCATAAATTGGGGCATCATGATTACAGACTTTTGCTCTTATGGTCTTTGTCTTTGTGTCCCATTAGGTATGGAGTCGTGTTGCGAAAACTGGACCTAGTGAAAGAGGCCATTGATGTGTTTGTTGAAGCAACTCATATCCTGCCATTGCACTGGGGGGCCTGGCTGGAGCTTTGTAATTTGATCACAGACAAAGAGACGGTAAATGGCGGGATAACTTCACGCCCAGTCCTTGTTTTCTCACATTGCTTGATCATTAAGCATTGACTGATGTAGGTCTGATATTGTTCATGGTGTTTTTCTGATGAAGAAAAAAATAAATCTAGCTGACATCTTAAGAAAATAAATAGCAGTTGGAGGTTTTCACCTTAATCCTTTCTGAAGATCTATTCCAAAGAGCGGGCAGAGTGATTCCTGCAGTTCAGGGGAGCTGCTACAGACTCCTTCTCTAAGTGTGTTCCTCTTCTGTTTGGTGCTTGCTGCCAGCTGAAGTTCCTGTCCTTGCCAGATACCTGGATGAGGGAGTTCTTCCTGGCACACATCTACACAGAGCTGCAGCTGATAGAGGAAGCCTTGCAGAAGTACCAGAGTCTCATAGATGTTGGGTTTTCCAAGAGCACCTACATAATCTCCCAGATTGCAGTGGCCTATCATAATATTCGAGGTCAGTGAATCAGGCTTGTGAGGGGCGGTCTCCTTTTCAGTTCCATTCTGTGTTGATTGTGTCATGTTGCTTTTTCAGATATTGATAAAGCATTATCCATCTTTAATGAATTAAGGAAACAAGACCCTTTCAGGATAGAAAATATGGATACCTTCTCCAACTTGCTTTATGTCAGAGTAAGTACCTTTTTTCTCAGCCATATCTTAATAAAATGCATCCAGACAGCATTATGTTATTCACTGTCACACAGTGTGTACACACTGTCGATGCTCACACTTCTGAAGCAGTTTCCACCTCTTACAATGCCTTCAGTCACCCTCTGCACAGAGATCCAGTCCCCACACAGTCGGTAGCCAACTTTGGCCTAGACGTCTTCTATTCATTCGGCCAGTTTTGCAACTCTCCCTTGCAATGCTCTCCTTACTTCCTTTCCCACACACACCAGCACAGCATCTCTTCCTGACGCACCCATATCCTGGTCCAGAAAGATGCAGTCCATCTTCATGTATCAAAGTGCTGGAGAAAAGGAAAAAGGGGGGAAGGGGGAGCTCACACATACTGTTGCATGTGACTTTACTACAAATAATTTTCAAATATTCCAAATCCCTAAAGCATTCTGTCACCACTTTTGCTGAGAATCAAGATCCCCTCAAGTCAAGCTGATGACTACCTGGATACATCCGTATAGGTTTTCCTGGCAACAACACAGGTTGTTCCAGGATGTTTGTTTGTCTTCCTGTCTCCTCTCCAAGTACTAACCATGTCTGATCTTGCTTAGCTCTCAGCCAGTGTTAGCTAATGCTGCCACCTGCTGTGACTAGATAATATAGTGGGTTGGTTGGGATACTAGGTTACAATATTGCTACAATAATCAAATAGGGTTATGCTGTAATATGTTTGATTTTTATGCCTTTCTTTTCTTGATCATCTAGAAAGAACAGATAACAGCAATATATTACTAGAACTCACTTTGATGGATTTATCTCTATACTTGTAGAAGTGTGGGAGTCAAATTCCTTTCATCCTAGGTAGTTAACCCAGTGGCTGAATTTGAGGCCTAAAATACTGTTTCTCCTAATTTCTTTTTGCAGCAGTTTTTCTAGAGTAAGTTTTTAATTTTTTTTCTATTCCTTTTCCCTCCCCTTAGGGTGTACTCCCTTTGCTTACAACCTTTGTTTATCATACTAGGGTATGAAGCCTGAATTGAGCTATTTGGCCCATAACCTATGTGAGATTGACAAGTATCGTGTAGAGACTTGCTGTGTAATTGGTGAGAAACTTTGCATTTCCTTTTCTTGAAGAAGCTGATTGTTTTTCTCTTGAAATAGTGCCACTGGGGCTATTATTTTCTTCTCATTGACACATTTTGCTCATTTTTTAATTTAGGGAACTATTACAGTTTGCGTTCCCAGCACGAGAAAGCAGCACTCTATTTCCAGCGAGCATTGAAACTGAATCCTCGATATCTTGGAGCATGGACCCTTATGGGGCATGAATACATGGAGATGAAAAATACATCAGCAGCTATTCAAGCATATAGGTATGTGTATAAGAGTTAGCTGTGTTGCCTAGAATTGGGAATGCTTTAACTAAATGTTACTTTTTACAGAAATGTTACCTTGCCCCAAACTAAATGCTCTGGGCAGCAAACGAGAAAAGATCTATAAAAAAAATAATTCACTAGAAACAATCCATTAATATAGCTTTAAGCCTAAGATATATATTAACGGTGCCCACAGTCTGCTTAGGCCAAAGATGAAGTGAAATAGGACTGTTTTCTCTTAGGAAAGCCAAGGAGGCCAGTAGCTGCATGTTCCTTCAGCTGGAGAGAGTTCCATAATGTGGAACTCACTTGCCTCTAGCAAGATCCTTTTCTCATCATAAATAGAACACTTATTTTCTTTTCCCCTCCCCCACACATAATCCATTTCCTTCCAAAATGTTTAAAGAAATGTATATGATGACCCTTTAGAATTTACCCATATTATTCTTTTCTTTCCCCAAATGCCCTCCTCTGTTAGACATGCCATTGAAGTGAATAAAAGAGACTACAGAGCATGGTATGGACTGGGGCAAACGTATGAGATTCTCAAGATGCCATTTTACTGCCTTTATTATTATCGACGAGCCCATCAACTGAGGTAAAAGAGTGTGCATAGGTGTCCCTATTGCTGCATTTTTAAAATCAGCTATCCTTGGTATGTGGAGTTAAATTATTATACATGAATTAAATCATTTATTTGGAAGTATCTATTTATAAAGAATAATGGATGTCCTGCAATTGATAAAGTCTTGGTTTTCACTGCTGGCTGCTACCTTTATTAAAGGCAAAGGATTACAAATTGCAAAGAATTACAAAGAAAAAAAATTCATAACGTAATTATTACTGTGGGAAAAAGAAATCCTGGACTTATCTAGTGCTAACCTTCAGGGTTTGTTTTCTTTTGGCTTGGGGTGGTAACTTTGTAAATTTAGAATAAAGCTTTGAAATTAGAGGAAATTTTTCCAATAGCAGAATTTTAAAAACCCCACTGCCAAAATCTAAAGTCTTTAATTTTTGAACTTTGTGGTGAAGCCAGCAAGCTATAGATGATTTTAAATGATTTTAGGTTTTTTGTCAGCTAGGTATCTTGTGTTTTTCACAGACCCAATGATTCCCGTATGCTTGTTGCTCTTGGAGAATGTTATGAAAAATTAAATCAGCTAGTAGAAGCCAAAAAGGTACTAGAAGGTTCAAATTTGCAAAGGAGGGGGGCATTTGTGGTTTCCTGGGGAACAAAATAGGGGAATTATTGCATGTATTGTGTTTTAACTTGCCTTAGTCTGTGCATCATCCTTTGAGAATGGGTTGGTAGATGTGGGTCATATGGCTAGGCCATCTATGTTGAGAAAGGATGTAAAAAACATCAAGCACTTCCTAGAATGGAATGAAAAGCTTTGTTGTGATGTTCATTCAGTTCCCCAAGCCCAGTCTAATAGGGACCAGTCCTTTCTTATTGCTTGCTATCCTAATTCTATTCCAGTATGAAGAAAAAGAAAGAATGTCACATAAATCTCAGTGTTATAAAGTTATTTTTATACCCAAGTCCTGATAATAAAGTTACAAAATGCAGTCAAAATACCGTAATATAAACATTACAACACAGCCAGTGAAAATGCAAAACATAATATTTGTAGTACCAAAAATAATTTTTGTTATATTAGTGTTGCTCAATTTGTGCTGAAATTTAGTATATTTGTTATGGTAATGCTGCTCAATTTGTGCCCAGGTGAAACAAGGACTTGTTGGCAAATATAACAAACACATAATAATTGTGAAAGTATCATTTTTATTAATCCTGTTTGCTAGTTTGATCTGTGATGTTAATGTCCCAGTAAATGCAAGATTCCATAATTTTTCACACCAACTCCTGATCGATAACTGAAAAGTAATTTTCTTCTAGGCAGCATTCAACATATGAGCCCCCAACAAAAGGAAATGGATTTGATCACCTATAAAATAATAAATGTGTCATTTCTGATGTATTTTAACTTACTCATTCACCTTGGGGGAAGGGAGAATAGCAAGGAATGGATATGCATTTTGCCCCTGCCTCTGGAGCCCAGAGGTATTGAGAGTCTGGTGGCAAACAAGTTTAATATGTTATTATTCTTTACTTCATCTTTGTTTTTATTCTTGACAGTGTTACTGGAGAGCATATGCTGTAGGAGATGTAGAAAAAATGGCACTGGTGAAACTAGCAAAGTGAGTATGGCATTATATTTCTCTTGCCTGGCTTCCTCTATAAAGCTGGAGTAATATCAATATGGAATGTTTCCATTTTGAAAGGAAGTGGAAAGTGGGGCTTGTAAAAGCACGTGGGCAGCAGACATAAGTGTTATGGCATTGTAAAATGGCTATTTTGCCCTAGAAATGCAGTTCACGTTTGATCAATTTGATAGGCTTCTGCCCAAAAGCACCTTGCTACCAGCTCTGTATTCAGAAGTATGATGGGGACTAAGTACCTCCTGCTCACCTGATCATTTTATCATCCTTCAGCCAAGAGCATCCTCTTACCATTTGTGTCCTTTCTTAGGCTTCATGAGCAGTTGAATGAATCAGAGCAAGCTGCCCAGTGCTATATTAAATACATCCAAGATATTTATTCCTGTGGGGTAAGTTGGCTCCATATAACTTTGGGAGAGCAAGAGAGGGAAATACAGGCAAATCCTAAAAGCCCTTACAGGTAGTTCTCGGGTTATGACGGTAATTGGAACTGGAATTTCTGTCACTAAGTGATGCGGTTGTAAAGGGTGATGTCACATGAACACATTGTTTAGCGACAGCAATCCCAGTAGTCCTGTTGCTGTCATAACCCCAGGACTGCATGGGTTGTTAAGTGGGAAGAAGCAGAGTCCCAGGCAAGCAGGCTGGCAGATGACAGCTATGGGTGGGGTGGTGCGAGGGAGCATGGACGGGTGTCATGGTTAGGGGATGGGTGCTGCAAACAGGCAGCAGGGGGGCAGTCATAAATGGGGACTGGCCCAAATTTTGATCACATGACTGGGGGTGCTGCAATGGCCAGAACTTTGAGGGTTAGTGGTAAGTCCATTTTTTCACGGCCATTGTGACTTTGAACAGTCGCTAAATGAATGGATGTAACCCGAAACTACCTGTATTGTATCCCAGGAAATAGGGGAGAACCTGGAGGTAAGCACCGCCTTCCGCTACCTGGCTCAGTATTACTTCAAGTGTAAGCTCTGGGATGAAGCCTCAGCTTGTGCTCAGAAATGCTGTGCGTTCAATGATGTGAGTAACCGGTCCAGTCTTAGTGGACACTTTTTCACTGGGGTATTATATCTGCTTCGTACTTGTCCCCATATATATGCATATATTGCAGTTTTAAGGCTGCATTTGTGGCTAGGGCAGAAGCTGTGTCCTCCGGGCTTGGTGTAATCCATATGTAAAAGCAATCTGGCAGGTGTGCTGCCTTAATTTAAGATGGTAAAAAAATAATGCTGCGGGGGGGGAACAGATCCAAGATTAGGCAGGGTTTTTTCTTCCAAAGCTAATCTTTAAATCTCCCAAATAATTCTTGTTGAAAGTTAAATCAGAAATCTCAAATTAGAGTCACAGTAGTTACTTCTTGTCCCTCCTCTAAATTGGTCCCTTTTTTTTGGAATGCTCAATTTCTTTCATAAAATCAAGTTCCGTTTTCGTAAACAATTGCAATAGAGTAATTATTTTTACAGAAATCTTCTTTACTGAAGGTTTAAATTCCAGAAGGAAATTAGTAAGGTAAACCAAAATACGTTTATTATGCATTTTAAATAATTTAGTAGAGATGGTCCTTATTATTTGTAGGAATTCCATTCCAGCCTAACAAATACAGGTAACAAAACTGCAACCAATGAGATCTTGAAAAAAATGTATACATGCACAAAAGCTTGTTTGCCATTTTGCACATATCTGAAATAGCTAAAAATATTCTAAAAGTCCACCTCCAAAGAGAAACATGCTCCCAAACCGAAGGATATGCAAAACCATTTACTGCAGATAACGAAGTTTAATCTGCATTTACTAATCACAGAAACATGAAACTGCAGGTAATGGAACTGTAGATATTGAGGGCCATTTATATTGAAATATGAAAAGCAAGCATTTTAAAAAACCAAATTCTTAGAAACTGAATAACCCGTATGTGTGCTGCCCTTCATGCCAAGACAATATGAGAGGTACAGAGCATGTAAAATTAATTTTATGGTTTCTAAGATACCTTTTAAAGTCCTTTCAAAATATCTGATATAGATTCAGGACAAGTATGTGTGTGTTAGGTTGTACCTACAAGAACAGTTTTGATGAGAAAGCAGATACTTGAAACAGAGATCTGGTAAAGTGAGAAACTTGATATGCACCTCCTTTTAAAAATTTAAATCCTTGTTGACAAAAGATGCTCGTTTTTACAAGCCAATCAATATTACATTGAATAGCAAGACAGAAGATTATGCTAAAACATTTCTATTCTTCATAGAAATGGATAGCTCTTACTAGGCAGGAAATAGAAACACTATACTTTATTACTTTTCTTTCTTTCTTAATCAGAGTTACTGCATTTACATATCTTTTTTTTCTCTGTGAGATCAAGGTGGGCTTACATAGGGTCTCCCAATTGTATCCCCACAGCAGCCGGGTGAAATAGCTTGGGCTAAGAAGTGACTGGCCCAAAGTCATCTAGTGAGCTCTGTGATTTTTGTAGTGATTTAAACCTGAGTCTCTTAAGTGCACGTCCAGAGAAATCCACAATCTGTCCACTGCTGTGAGCCATAACTACTAGGATTGTATATGCTTCAAAAATGATTCAGAATAAGTTTCTTTGGACCTCATACAAGCACAGAACCTCTCTGCTATCCATTAAACCACCTCTTTTTTTTTCAGGCTTCTGCACCAGTCTGGAAAAGTATGAAGCTGCTTTAATAGTTGCATTAATTTAAATGAGTTGTCTTCTTAAAACAACAGCATCTTATTGCAGGCTTATATATATGCTAGAAAAAAGGCCAGCTGTTTTAATGATTGTCTGAGATGTGCTGTACTCACGGGTCTGAAGCACTTCTTCCAAATCAGTTTTGAAGCCTGCACAGCCATAATTGCAGAATAGCCAGGAAGCAGATATTTGCTGAATCCACCCAAGCAGACTTTGGGGCTTTTTAAAAATGGAAGCTAAAACATCAAGCTGACTAGATCTTTGCCAGTGGGCAAGTCAAATTCATCATAATAGTAAACAAAGTTCTTCGGTTTACCCAGACATTCGTGTATTTGCAATTTGCAAACAACTTTTGTCCATTAAAATGGTGGCAAATACAACATTGAGCCTATTGCTTTTCTTTCTTACTAAGAGAATGAAGTTCTTTAAATTACTACTGGTAGATTCCAGGAAGATATAGGCCATTACAAAGAATATTCATGTAGCTCCTTCATCACATTTGATCAGTACAAAAGCAGCATGCAGCTGTCTGAGTATGTTGCAGACTTCTCCTCTGTTAACCTGCCATTCAGCTGTTTAGTGGGCTAAGGAAAGCGATATTGTGATACATATTCCCACATGGACAAGAGATTTACCTTTCCTATGTATCCTCTTTTCCACCTATTGTGTAAGTGTGTGTATGTACATTCTTTTTTTTTTTATAGGAAACATTACCTACTGATTTAATTATAATTTAGCGTGGCTTGCCTCTGCTCAGGAACATCCCTATAACCTGTTTTCTGTCTTGCATCTTCCCTCCTTGTTCTTTCCTAATGCATCTTGCTTTTCTCTCTAGACAAGAGAAGAAGGGAAGGCCCTCTTGCGGCAAATCTTACAGTTACGAAATCAAGGGGAGACATCAACTACAGAGACGGCCACACCTTTCCTACTTCCTTCTTCCCTCTCTGCCAACAACACTCCAACCCGCCGAGTGTCCCCACTGAATCTGTCTAATATTACACCTTGAACTGTACTACCTTTCTGAGCTGACTCAGTTGAGAGGGTGGTTCTGTTGTAAACTGGATCTTTCTCTTGAATACTGCCATTCTAGGAAGACTTTTGATTTCAGTTCAGATTGCTGACGTCACGCTGCTGAGGATGGCTGTCTATTGTATCATAGCTATGAAATGTTAATAGCTCAGACTGTGTAGTGAGCTGAATTCGCTCTACACCTCAGCCTTCTTACAAGTCTGGCATCTGTGTGAAAAGAGAGAACCCCTCTCTTTATACTGGCAGTTGGTGAGACTGCTTTCTGCCCCTTTCTTCATCACATTCCTTTCTGAGGATGTTGTAATATGATGCAGGCTATCCATTTATCAGATGTGCATCATATTAGAAACAGTATCACATTTATTTGAAATTGGAAAGGAGTGTCTGTGAGCAGCTGGCTTTCTCATCTTTTTATTAGGTGACCAATGAAAACTATCTGTGAATAGGATAGGAGCTGCCATCTGCTTTAGCAGCAACACAGAAAAGCATGTGGATGGAAAGCTAATAGGTCACGCCTAATTCAATGTAATAATGCCAGGCTGAAACTGGTAGCACGAAATGATGGGTATATTGTATGCAGCAGGTGCAGTGTTACTGCTCTCCCACATAGGCTCTAGAAATTGTAAAGAATATTTTTGTTAATCTTTTGTTGCTCAAGAACCAGAGGAAATTACTTGAGAGCAAATCTGTTCATTTCTTTGACTTAGCAGCTTGTAAATGTTCAGTTTAACAATTGGGATGCTCAGTTTAAAAATTGAATATGATCTTGTAACTTAAAATGATTGTGATAAATCTACATGTCAAGACTGTTAGAATTCAGGAAGCACAGAACAATTTTTGTGTGGTTAAGTATCAAGTTATTTACCATTACCATGTTTTTATCAGTATATTTTCAAGAAATCAGATTTATGACTTCTCACGTTTCAGAGATATTGAGGCTTCAGTATTCATATTTAGAACTTTTATCTTCTTCCTCCTCCAGGAATCTCAGCATGGTAAACAACCTTCCAAATTTATCATCATAGTGAGATTTATAGCCAGTTGAAGCACCAAGTCATAATTGCTTGAATTATCTAGACATAAAATAATTATACAAATACTAATAAATTCTGACTGTTTATAAGTAATCTAAACCTATCCTATATTACTGTAATCGGAAAATAATCCAACCTACTCTTGTACTGTACAGTAATCATTAAATTTGGTGCCTTGTTATATTAGTGGAAACTAAATCAAAGGTCCACCACCCTTTGAATAGCAATTCTAAATATTTTTTTCAGATTGGAATCATAATAAATTATGCATAAGAAGGTTCCTCCAAAATAGAGAATCAGAATTGTGATTGTGCTGATGATTGATATTCCAGTATACCTACTTTAGCCTTGGATTGCTGCAGATGATTCCTTAAAGTAATGAACTATTAAAATGGGGCATTTATCAGAGCTGGTGTATACCCATAATTTTAACAAACTAATGGAACTTACTTGAGTTTTCCAGGACACAAAAATACCCCATATCTGCCCTTGCCAAGGAATTGTTTGCAACTACAGCATTCATTCAGGATTTTGCACATTCTTTGAATTGAGTATAGTTGATGACATCGGAACTGGAGTGGAATACTGGAGCCAGTCTGATTTAGTGGCCCAAGACTTCTCTGAAAAACAGTACTTTTGTGCAGTTAATGTTCTCAAAGACAAGTTTCTTGAGATGGGCCTGAGGTTCTGTATGTATTATGCTCGTAAAAGAAAGTTTTGCCATGTGGAAAGATGGCTGGAGGAAAAATAAAGTGGAGGGCAACTTGTTTTCTGTTTTTTAACTATGCACAAGTTTATATGAACGTCTGATTACATTATGGTTTATCTACTCATAGGAAACTGTACAATAAGCGTGTGCCATGGTTATTTTATTTTACCGTAACCAGATACATTATCTAGAGCAGGGTTTTCAGACTGTTCTGCAGAACCCCTTGATGGGGCTCCATGAGAGGCTATGGGGGGGAAAAAGTTCATGTGAACACTTCCAGTTGTCTAGAGCTTTGTCTCTTGATCAGGGGGTCCGGGGTTGGTTTTTTTTTTAATGGCCTGAAGAAGCCTAAACCCCTGATCTAGTGTACCTTGGAAAACAGTGCCTCCAATCTACTTTGTTAGTATTTAATGAAGAAAAATCAATTTGAAAAATAACCTTTATATCTTTGTAATCGTTAGAGTCTTACCTATGGATTTACTGAGTTTGAATTTTTTAAATGTTTTTCCCCAAGTATTAGAGCGTTTGGGCATCAGTAATATCTGAATATATCTCATTCTGAAAAAAATGGCTATTTTTTGCTAAGCTTCCATTTTCAGCTCAAAACATATAGTTATTGAACATGAGATGGTAAACTTATGAATCAGACTAAGAGTGATTTAGCAAAAGCTCAAGTCCATTGACAGGTACAGGACAATGGCTACCACAAAAAAAGACTTTCAAAACATAGGTTAGTCCCCTGAGAAGTAGCTTGTCTGCTCAGGGCCTGAATAGCTGCATGGAGCTAACTTGCCCACCTGCATTTCTGGTTGGCACAATTTGTGAGCTGTATGGCATATTGTCACACTAGGTATTGCAAAACTTGAAACTGCCTGCACCAAAACTGAGCAAAAGCATCCTGCTATGAACCCACAGCAGCGGACAACACTGCCTATCCTGCTCTGACTATCTAGATGTTAATGTTGGCAGGAGAGGGTTTCTTAAAAATGCCCTCACTTTCTGAGGACCATTTGCCAAGTACAGGAAAAGACCTCTGTGTTACTCCCAAGGAAGCTAAATCCATGGGAGGTGCACTCAGGCTCCACTATTCCAGATTTTAGGAAAGGAGGCAAAGTGTTTCTTTCAATTGTTGTCCCCCTGTACTTTGAATTAGGATTTTAGCGGGGGGGGCACTTGGATAGAAAGAGGGAATACATTGTAAATATATTTTACAAGACTCCCCCAATTTCTCTAGAAGAAACACTACTTGGCAAACATTTTTAAACACCTCAATTCTATAGAATCTATAACATTTCAGAACTGTTATACATAATACATTTATTATGTGTTTAACATAGCTAAAATATATGTGGTTCTGCATGCTGTGTAACATTTTTTAATAAAAATAAAATGGACATAACATAAATCCAGGTTTCATAACCATTGGAATAGCAGCTGGCCTGAAGGAAAATACATGCATAGTAATCATCTTTGGGAAGCCAAAGATTTTCAGTAAGCTCAGACCTCATCATGCTAAATATAGAATAATTTATATACATTATGTTGGCTCTAAAGGTCGTTGGAGTTGAGGCAGATCCATTTAAACTGCTGGACCTGAGCTTGGTCACAACCAACCAAAATTAAAGCTTTCCTGCATCTGGATCCAGCTCGCTGACAGTAAAGGCACCAATTGGCTGCCCTGCCCTTCCAAGGCCCCAGGTCCAAAGCACTCAGTGTTTTTTGGTAAAGGGCGGCGGTTTGAATGCTGGAGATCCTCGGGCATGCAAGATGTGAGTGTAAGGGCTCTCTGTCACCGCAGGCTGGGCTGTTGAGCGAGTGAGGAAGTTGTGCAAGAATGGCTTCTTGGTTGGAGGCTGACTCCTGGGCTGCAAATTTTCATTATTTGCACAGAAGCGCTTTTTAATAGAAGTTGGCGCCGCTGCCGCCATGTTTTCTGCAGCCTGGAGCTTCTGCAGAGTTTGATACTGCTCTGCAATAAAGGCAACCTTCTTCCGCATGTCCAGCTTCACTAGTATCATGTTATTCTGAAGTTCAGCCAAGGTCTGGTCCTAGAAAGAACATCCAATGGAAAGATGATGATGGTGATTTATCTCTCCTGACAAGTGGTTCTGCCAATCCGACAGCTGCCTCCTAGCTCTATGAACTTAAAGTGACACATTAATTTGTGGCTTTCCCGGGCTAGAGACCTGCTCAAACTGCATGATCAACAGCCTCATCTACGTAAGATCTGTTGACTGACTTTGGGCTCTTTGGATGCAACCTCTTATCTAGCTCTATCTAGTTATTGTCTGGCTTTGGCTCTGAATTACCAGAAGGTAATGCAGAAGGGCAGAAATGCAGCCCTGATCGTTCCTCGGCCTTCCCTCCAATTTTATGATGTCCTCCATGATATGCCTCCGAATAGGTAGCCTGGAATAAGCCTGAATGCACTATGCTGCTTGGATTTTGGAAAGGGTGGCAGGCTGGTAGTAGGAGATACAAGTAGTCCTCGTTTAGCGGCTGTTCAAAGTTACAATGGTGCTGAACCAGGGGACTTATGACCATTCCTCATAGTTGCAGCTGTTGCAGCGTCCCCACAGTCATGTGATTGCAATTGGGGTGCTTGGCAACCAGCTGGCAATTACAATGGTCTCAGTGTTCCTCAGTCATGTGATCGTGGTTTTTGACCTTCACTGCTGGCTTCCAACAAACAGGCAATAGGGAAGCCAGCAGGAGGTCGCAAATGGGGACTACATGATCAGATACTGTGACCGTGTGGGATTCACCTAATGGCAGCAACTGGAACTGCCGCAACTGCCATTGTAAGTTGGCACAGTCATGTGACATTGCCCTATATGACCACATTGCTTAGTGATGGACTTGCTGGTCCCAATTATCATAGTTAAGCAAGGACTACCTGTACCACCAAATGTTCCCAATGCAATTTTACCATCTACATGAACATATGAAACAGAATGGTACCAGGACATTAATGAACTCTGAACAATTATGGACTGAATTAGTGAGCACTGGAAAATTAAAACTGGATCCAGAAAAGAGAAAGGTACTGTTGTGGACAATGTCCTCTGGAAAGTGGTGTTCACCCTTTGCTGAAGATTATTAAGTTTCCTTCAGGTTCGCTAAATGGGGATCTTGACAGATTTCTTTTGGGCCTACCCAGTAACAGAAGAAAACCAAACGTGATCTTCTCTAGTAATTTTACTGGAGTTGTTCTGCTGACATCTAGGTTGAACCATTTCAATATGTTATGTGAGTCTGTCTTTAAGTCAGATTGCTCATAACTTCAGCCAGTCAAAAAAATCTGTCCTGGGTTATAGGTGGGGATCCTCCATCTCTCACCAGCTCTAATCTCCAGTCAGATACTCTGAGTATCCTTTTCTTCTATATGAATCTGCCCATATTGCTAAGGCAACCTGGGAGAGTCTTCTGAAGGCAGAATAAGCTTTTGGAAAAGTTAGATGAATCAAATAAGGGCTGTGACAGTCCATCTTTAGCATACTTCCCAAGAAGATTTCTTTTTTAGTACTTGGTGAAAGCATTCCTCAGCCCACCATAATTAAAAGAAAATCTAATTTTATTGGGCTACTGCCTCTGCTTCACCATTTTTAATTTTCTTTATGCTGAGGGATTACTTCTGCAATTTGTTTAGGGTACAAGGTCTGGAGCAAAGGATAAAAGCAGCCTATAAAAACACACATTCAAAACTGTAATAGAAAAAAAAAGAGCCTTGCAAACTAGCTAGATTCAGCAGCCCTTTCCATACCTGCTTGGCCAGGATATTGTCACACTTATTGAGGGCTTCACGGAGTTTCCCAGCACTTGTGCTGTGACAGCACGCTCTTTCAGCTGATTGGAACAGCTCCCCAAGATTCAGCAGCTCTGAACGCAGCAGCCTCACATTCTGAGGGAGCAAAGAGTCACGCAAGGAGAACCAAGGAGAGAAAGGCAAGAGCAGGAAGCCTTGGTTGTGAACAGCAAGCATACCCACCGGTGTGGAAGAGGAGCTCGAAAGAATACAGATAATCCTTGAGTTATGACCACTCGTTCAGTGATCGTTCAAAGTTATGGCAGCACTAAAGGAGGGGGGACTAAAGTTGTGGCCATTGTGTCCCTGCAGTCACTCAGGCGCCCAGCTTGTGATTACAATGTTGCAGTGAGCTGCGGTGACACGATCACCATTTGCAACCTTCCCTGCTGGCTTCCGACAAGCAAAGCCAGTGGGGAAGCCAGCAGGAAATGTTGCAAGTTGCTCCCCCTGCTTTTTCTCCCAAGGAACCCCACTACAGAGTACAAGATTCCAGAGAGCACATGCTAGCTCGCCACACACCCCTGCTTGCACTCCACTGCACCTGCTGGTGGCCCTCGCTGGCCCACTGGCGGCACCCCCCCATGATACCCCTCCATACTCCTTATCTGGGATTCCCACCTCTTCCTACTTAATGGCCTGCATGGTCCTGGGGTTATGACGGCAACCAGGACTGCTGTTGCTAAGCAATGTGGTCACGTAACATTGTGCTTTACGATCACATCGCTTTATGACCGCATCACTTAGTGGCAGCAATCCCGGTCCCAAACTGCCATCATAATCCAAAGTCTACCTGTATCAGCAACATCTAGAAAAGGATGCTCTAGTTCCCTCTGCCATAGACAAGTTACCTTTTGGCCTTCTTCTAGCTTCCGGTCTAAATCAGCAGCAATGGGCCTTGCAGAAGGTGGCGGCTCCAGCATTTTTCGATACTTACGCAGCTCTGTAGGAAAACAGGGCCAAGCGCAAGAACAAATTAAGCCCAGCAATGAATTGCTAACCTACATGGCAGCTTTCAAATCAAGACCAAGCCCTGAAAGATAGAGGTTCTTCCTGAGAAATACCAAATCTCTCTTGCTTGTTTCCCACAATCAGACTCACTGAAATTAGAAGTAGGGAGGAGATTAGAAGTGGTGATGAAAATCTACCATTCATTATTTCTATTTTTAAAGTGATCATATACCTATGTGGGGTGGGCTTGTAGCTCAAAGGAAGGCCACTAATGTCACAGGACACAATTAAGGGGACTAAGCACCACAGAGAACAGGGGCTAATGTAACATTGGGTAGCAGATGATCGGGGCAGACATAGATCAACCTTCACAGCACTCCAATAATTAAGGCAGCCTGCCTTTCTCCAGATATGCAGTCTGATCTCCATGCTAGATTACAAAAGGAGGGCCTCACCTTGAGTAGATGCACTCAGCTCTGCCTGGCACTTCGCTAGCATATCCTTCACCTCCAGCAATTCCTGCTGTGTAGATGCAATTCGTTTGGATCTGCGTAAAGTTTCCTCCGTCTCTTGCCTCTTGCCTCCTTTGGAGTCTTGCTGTTGCTTTGCCTCCTGCAAGGCAGCTTCCAACTCTGTTATCTTGTCATCCCGATTCTGAAGAAAAAACAAGACACTCCAACTGGGAAACGGAGGGAAAGCAGCTATGGAACCAGAGTGGCATCTCCCCAAGGCTCCTATAAAAGTGTGTGATTCTCCTCAAGGCAGGTTCTCACGCACATAGGACTCCCTCCCAAGGCAAACTTCTGCTAGCAAAGAATTTCCATTATGTATCTGCAACTCTTTCATTGTTGCTGGTAATGACTGGTATTTTACGCATTCACTGTGTTTGTAAGGGTGGCGAATTGTCGAATGACTCAAGGCAACCTTACCTATTCCCAGCAGGAAATAACCAAATAGCTACAAAAATCTTAAAAGAGTTGCAGCCTATCCTTTTTCTAAGAAGCTTCATGTGGCACAAGCCCACTGAAATCTAGCTAATTGTAATGCCCACAGGAACGTTTGGAGGCAAGGGTGCAAGGAGGGAGACATGCATTAATTACATGACAAAAGCATCTTGGCAGTTCTCTCCACTTCACATTGCAAAAGTACCAAAGCTTGCAGGACATTTCTTCTCTAAACTGCCAGTTCTTTGTTTGTGACAGATAATATGGTCCCTGTCCTCAGAACAGCCCAATACATCATTTACCCTCTTTTACCTACAACACACCTCAATCTCCTCCAGATAGTAATCTGTCAGCGACACTTTCAGATTATTCAGTTTGTCTTCATACAGCTCCTCCAACATCTCCTTTTGAGAATCCACATGATCACTACAGAAGTAAGTGAAGAAGGAAAAAGAAAGGTGAGACAGTGAGCTGGGTGGATAGAAAGCCAAGGGCCAATCACAGACGTTTCCTGGAAAATACCAGTGCCTCCAGCAGCAACAGTACCTGCTCCACTGTTCTCTCTGCTGTAAGTGCTCCATCATCTCATTGCAGATCTCATCACGGAGACGCATTTCCAGCTGAAACTTCTCCTGGCGCTCCTTCAGCAGCAGTTCTTGCACAGCCTCAACTACACGCACAAGATCCTGGATTTTGGGATGGGGAAAAAACAAAGAACATGATGATTTAGGCTCAACATCAGAATGCTTCGCAGAGGTCTAACTACCTGATTTAAAAGTACTGATCAATACTTAAATCAGATACTCAAGATCTGGACGATTCTTGAGCCCTAGAGATGTCCAATTAAGTAGCTCTGAAAACTTCTCCATTCAGGATGTAAGGAACGAACAGTGACTTACCTCCTTATCATATGCAGTCACATCTGTTTCATCTTCACTGTCTTCATCAAGTTCTGTTACGTCATCCAAAACAGCCACAGGGGCCTTATTAGTTCGAATGCTGTGTTCCTTGATGAGTGAATGGATAGACAGGAGCCCCACCTTTGTAGGAACCTGGATAAGCTGTAAAAAACCAAATTACAATTATCAACACAGTTAAAAACATTGACACATGCCCTCATTTCCTTCCATCTTCGTCCAGGGCTACTCTGAGCAGAATACATTTTTGTTTATGTTTTTGAAAAAGGTTTCCAGGACAAAGTGGCCCTGATCTTTACCCTTAGGAGGAAGCAACCCAGAAAAAAATATAGAGAACGCTGTCTTTGAGTATCTGCAGAAAGAATAGGTTGCTTATGTGAAACTGTGGCTCTTTGGGTTATCATCTATGCCAGTGTTGTCCAAACTTGGCCACTTTAAGATGAGTGGACTTCAACTCCCAGAATTCCCCACCCAGCCATGTTGGCTGGGGAAT